GTTCCTCGATCCTGGATCTCGGATCTTCGTTCCCCGCGTCGCTGTCAGCGATGCGTTTTTCCCAGAGAGAGAGAGAGAGAGAGAGAGAGAGAGAGAGAGAGAGAGAGAGAGAGAGAGAGAGAGAGAGAGAGAGAGAGATATATATAGAGAGAGAGAGAGAGAGAGAGAGAGAGAGAGAGAGAGAGAAAGAAGAGAGAGAGAGAGAGAGAGAGAGAAAGAGAGCGCGCCTGCGCGGCGGAACATACTCCTTGGTTTAATAGTTAATTATATACCCAATAACAATAAACACGTTGTCTTTTTCCAGCGAGGAGGCCGCCGAGGGTGCGCCAACTCGGGATCACCTGCGCCGCGGCCTCAGCGGAAAGGACAGGCGGCGGGGTCCCCAGTGGCTGGAGGTCCTTGTGGGGGTCCGCGCGCGCCCTCGGCGGTTCCCACCCTGGGGGGGGGGGCCCGAGTGATTCAGCGCGATTGGGGCCCAGAGCGGGCCGAGAGTGGGGTGGGTCTGAACTCGAAGGAGTCTGGATCTGAGTGAGCCTGGCTATGCGTGGTTTTGGATGTGAGTGAGCTTTGGGGGTAGTATCTGACTGAGCGTGCGTCTGAACGCCAGCGAATTTCAGTATGAATGTGTCTAGGCATGATTGGGGTCTGAACATGAAGATGGCGCGCGCGTGTGTGTATGTGTGTGTGTGTGTGTGTGTGTGTGTGTGTGTGTGTGTGTGCGAGCAAATGCGGTGACGGTCAGCGGCTGAGTAGAAGGGGTCTGGGCGCGAGTGGATGTTGGGGCGTCAGGAACCTTGCATTGGCCAGTCTGGATATGAGTGGCTGCGCATCTAGCGGTGTGCGCCCGAGCAAGCACGGATATGAGTGAGTCTGATTCTGCTGTTTAATGATGGGCGGATCTGCGCGTAAGATGGTCTGGATGCGTCGATGTCCTCAAACGGGGTCCGCACTTTGTAACCTGGCAGGTTATATTGGTTGGAAAGAAGATGCCTTTGAAGAGTGCTTGATGACCAAACATATTGTTGCCTCGTCACAGTTACTCGGCGCCGCGAGACGCTGGATCCCTTCGGCAAAAGGGCAAGTTTTCCTTCCTGCTTGCGTGTCTGAGCCGCCAGAGGCCCGAAACCAATGCCAAGTGTAAGTGTGTCGTGCGTGCCTGGTTAAAAAAACAATTACTCCGACGGAAGGAGCCCACATGAGAATCCTCTGGGCGAATCTGGAAAAAACCCTCACCGTCGTCCTCTTGGTTGGTGAGGCGTCCTGGCTGTCTCTTCTGCGTATATTTTTTCTCGCCCTGGCGCGGGCCCTCCCCCCGCTCCTTACGTTGCCCCCGACCTCGCCCTCTTGTTTTTGGCTCTGGACATTCAGAAAGTGGCCCGGGAGTGGTGTTCTGGGAACACGAAGAACACGAAGTGGCCTACAGTTGGCTCCGGGCATTCAAAATGTGGCCCGGGCATGGTGTTCTGGGAGCACGAAGAACACGAAGTGGCCTACAGTTGGCTCCGGGCATTCAAAATGTGGTTTGGGAATGGCGTTCTGGCAGCGCGAGAGCCCAAAAGTGGCGACAGTTAGATGAATTGGATGACCCGCTCGGATTAGTAACATGATCCGCGAGCCCCATAGGGAGGGGGCTCCCGCTTGAAACTTCCTCGCAATTTACTCAAACATGTGGCCTGGGAATGGCGTTCTGGCAGCGCGAGAGCCCAAAAATGGTGACAGTTACAGGAATTGGATGACCCGCTCGGATTAGTAACGTGATCCGCGGGCCCCATAGGGAGGGGGCTCCCGCTTGAGACTTCCTCGCAATTCACTCACAGATGTGGCCTGGGAATGGCGTTCTGGCAGCGCGAGAGCCCAAAACATGGCGACAGTTAAAGGAATTTGATGACCCGCTCGGATTAGTAACATGATCCGCGGGCCCCATAGGGAGGGGGGTCCCGCTTGAGACTTCCTCGCAATACATTCACAGACGAGGCCCAAGGCGAGTGGGTGAGTGAGTGAGTGAGTGACTGAGTGATTGACTGAGTGACTGATGATGATGATGGTGATGATGATGATGATGTTGATGATGCTGATGATCATCACGCTCTCTCACGCGCACAACCAGCATCATCATATGTGAGTGCTGATGAGTCAGTGAGTGAGTGAGTGAGTGAATGAGTGAGTGAGTGAGTGTGTGAGTGAGTGAGTGAGTGAGTGAGTGTGTGAGGGATGATTAGTGAGTGAGTGAGTGAGTGAGTGAGTGAGGAATGAGTGATGATGATGATGGTGGGTTCCTGTTCCTGCGCGGGGTGTCCAAAGAAAACAAAAACCCAACTTTGGATGTGGGGAAATATCACTTTGGTGCCTCGTCACGGTTGCTCGGCGCCGCGAGCCATTGATTTTTTTTTTTTGCAGAACGGCTAGTGTTCCGTCCCGCTGGCGTGTCTGAGCCGCTCGAGGCCCAACGCCACTGCAAAGTGTGCGTGTGTCGTGCGTGCTTGATGGAACAACGCATTGCTGCCTCGTCGCGGTTGTTCGGTGCCACGGGACATTGGATTCTTTCGGCAAGAGGGCAAGTTTTCCGTCCCGCTTGCGTGTCAGAGCCGCCAGAGGCCCCAAACCAATGCGAAGTGTACGTGTGTCATGCGTGCTAGATAGAAAGCATTGCCGCCCCGTCACAGGTGCTCTCAGGTCGGCCTGGGCTGCTTCGGCATGCGCGCGCAGTGCTTTGTTGGAACTTCGCATTGTAATCGATTGCGTCGGAGGACGCGATCGGTTCCTGCAGAACCAGGCGCTGGTCGCGTTTGCCAGCGGCAACTCCACGACCGTCAGCGGCCCAGTTCCGCCAAGCCGATGGATGTCCAGAGCGTGGGTGGTCAACTCCGATTCGACTGATTTACGATCGCTGCCGGGAGCGGCCGATTCCGCCGACCGAGAGGCGCCCTCGCCCTGTAGTCGTTGTCGTTACATTGAATGTTAATCCGTGTTTTGCTGCTGGCATTGCGAGGGGCCTGACAGTTCTTCTGATGCAGTCAGTAAAGCATCGGACAGTGTGCGGCCAGGTCGCCCCCGACATCAACCGCGTCGCGGCTTTCTTCAAGCCGCCGCACGCGGCCCCCGCCTCTGTCACATGCCCAATCGTGGACAAATCCGGACAACGATGCTGTGCATGGGCGTCGCTCAACCAAACTGATTAGGGCGAATGTAGTGCCCCCCGCTCGTTTGGAGGGCGCGCGCCGCCCGCATTTTTTTTGCCAGCCGGCGCAGGTGCTGCCGCGCGACCCGGGCCCCTGGTCGCGCGACGTGCTCGCCCGCGGCCGCGGCTTCAATCCACGCCCGCCAGTGCAGCACGACATAACGCGCCTTGAATTCAAGGTGATCGGAGGAAGGAGAAGCGACGCCACTTCCACTGCCAGGGGGCTACTTCCAGCGAGGATGGCCATGATGCCTCCCCAGGCCGGGGGTTCGGGATGTCCCGGGCGGGAGAAGAGGGGCGCTGCGCCGCCGGGGAGACGCCCCTGGCTCCTCGCTGTGGTGGTGGTGGTGGTGGTGTAATTTTTCCTTGTCCCAGAGACGATGGCGCTCCTGTCGGCGATGCGCGGCGTCGGGGAGCGGGCCGAGGCGCCGCGCCAGTGGGGGGCGGAGCTCTTCCAGCATAGTGAGCTGGTCTGGGGGCGGGTGCGCGGGGTGCCCGCAGATTCGCGGCCTCGTCGCTGGGGCTGAGAGAGGGGCCTGCGGCTTGGTGGGCGCCGACCCTCGCGTAGGCTGGCGTTGCTATCCGCGGGGGGCGCTGCGGGGTAGAGCCATGGGTAGTGCGCCCGCGCCGCGCGAGGACTTTGCCCAGGGTGACTTAAATTGCGCGTGCCTTCGCCTGGGAGTTTGGACTTACATGGCGTGCGAGCGGGTCTTGGAACCCGTGCGCATCGCGCTGCAAGCGGCCCCAGTCAGCCCGTCGCCGCCGCGTCATCGCGTATTCCGTGCATCGCATTGCCATGGGGCATCGCACCGTGCCGCCGCCGGGAGTTGGCGCCGCCAGATGAAACGGCAGATGCGCGTGCTCGATTGCGTTCGAGGCTCATCGTTCGGATCGTCTGTCGATGTTCCTTCTGGAACGGCGTCGCTGGTTCGATCGGGGCGATGCTTGGGGCCGTCGATGGGCAGCGGGGGCTTTGTGTTTGTGACGCCGTTTCAACTACCTGCGCCCAGCAACTCGATCGCAACGGTAGTCGCCCATCGCCGCCGCTAGGCAACCTTTTCTGTCGCCCCCCCCCTCCGTCGAACTGTCTGTCATCGCTGCGGCAGTTTCTTGGGGGAGTCGGCAGCCAGAGCCGCAGGTGCCCGCGCCTCTCGCGCGTTGCCTTGTCTGTGATTTCGCGCCAGGAGCCAGCGGTGGCCGCCCGCCGTCGCCCCGCCGTTGCTTTCGGGGGGCGTTCGGGCTTCGCCCCAAAAAAGGGCGGCTCGGATGGTGCTCGAGCGCCCCTCTGCTACGAAGACCAAGGACTGGAAGAACGCGCCGCGCGCCTCGGGGGAGATCGCGACGCCTGGCAGGGGCTTGCGCCGCGAGCGAGCAACGTGAAAGCGCGCAGTCACAGAGCTCTTGGCGGCGTCGGACGTGGAAATAGTGAGCATCTTGCTGGGCGACGCGCTGCTCGTCAATTGGTTTGGGGCGACCTGTCCTTCTGCGGGCGCGGCGAGCTCGGTGAGTTAGCCGCTCGCCCGCGCGAGGGCGATCGCTCCTTGCACCGCTGCAGCGCGAAGGGCTGCCAGAAGCACGCGCCCCCCTGGTTGCCGGGGCCCGAGCATCGGAGATCATTCGACGTCCGGGAGCCTGCTGAGGCAGGCTGTGGTCCTACTGGCGAAGCCCGCGGGGACGTCCCGCGCGAACGCCCGCATCGTGATCGATGTCCACCACAGAGCGGTGGATCGGATTTGGGGCAACGTTTGGGGTGACGTTTAGCAGGCTCGGATGATGTGCGTGGAGGACGTGGGGCCGACCATTGAAACTCGGTGGGCCGAAGGTGTGGGCCGACGTGGAAGCCGACGAAGCGACCTCTGACAAGTTTGACTTGATTGACGGCCCCGAGCCGTTGGAGACCCTCCTCGCCCAGTCGTGTGGGAGCAGTGGTTGGGCATTGCAGCGCGGTGGGCCGCGCGCTCTGGCCCTTGCGAGACTGAGCTCCGAAATGGCGGCGAAGCGTGCACTTGGCCCTGGGGCCGTGCGCAGGGTAGAGTGGAAGTCCCTTGCTGAGCGGTGGCGGAAAGATGGCGATGTAGTTTTTCAATGTGATTCGGCGCGTTCTCGCAAATTACGCGTGCCTGGCGTGATCCACGACTTCGCTGTTCACAAGAAGAAGTACAGGAGCGTCGGCGGCAAGAGGGTGCTCATTTTCCCCGAGTGCGCCGAGCTGAAGAATCGCGCACTCCCATCGGGCAAGCACCTCAGGGTCATGAGCGGCGCGCAGATCATTGACCGTGCGTGGCGCTTCATCAGAGACCGCATGCGCAGGGGCGCCAATGCCGAGGCGGAAACCAAGCTGCTCGCCACAAGATCCGGCGGCGCGTGGGCCATGACGGGGGGGGCGGGGCAGCGCATCATGCGCGACGTGCTGACGGCGTGACCGGCGCGCGGTGGGCGTTTTGGTGCAGACGTGGGCAGCGCGCCCGCGCCACTCGGGGAATTTTACTGGCACGGCGAAGCGATCTCTGAGACAATCCGGCGCTCATGGCGGGACACATAATGCGCAGCGTACAGTGTGCGGCATCGGCCGCGGCGGGCGTTTGGGCGAAGACTGAGGTAGTGCGTCTGGGCTACCTCGGGGTTTGTCCATGCGCCCTCTCCATTGCGTTCTTCTGCGCGTGGAGTTTTGCAGTTCAAGATGGGGGCCCGCATGTCCTTGCGCTCAAACGCATTGCACTGCCAGCGCGTCCAATCATCTGGCCGCCTCCGCGCCACTTCATATTCTTGCCTACGCTGTCAGCACATGTGACAGGAACACAACATCACTTCATCGCTTTGTTGGGCGCCGACATATAGAACTGTGGACCCCTGCAGGGGGGGAGGAGGGCGTATGTGTCGAAGTATGTATGTATTCATGCATGTATGTATGCATGCATGCATGTATGTATTTATGTTTGTATGTATATACTGTATGTATGTATGTACGTACGAATGTATGTCTGTAGGTATGTATTTATGTATATGTATATATTCATATGTCCGTAGCCAATTTAGGTCTCGCCACATGCTAGGCCAGGGCCCTTGACGCGCCCTACCATCCGCATGCAATGGTATGCGCCGCCGCCGCAGTGTGGTGCCTGCTAACCTGTTTGCACTGCCGCTCCTACGTGAAGTTGCGACTCCGCCGTGACCGAGCTCGCGAGCGTGGACATCTTCGTGTTATACCCTCTGGTATGCGCCACGTGGCCGTCCCTGACCACCTGGCGACGCACGCCGCGGACATCGTGAAGGGCATCTCGGCCCGCTCCGTGGTGCAAACGGTCTCCGGGATGCGCGCTCCCACAGCCTGCGCGCGGCGATCGACCGGGCCGCCCCCCTCTTTGACGCCAATTCGCTGACGCAGCTGAGGGTCATCAACACGCGGGCTTGCCGCGCCAAACATCGCGTTCCTGTCGTTCCTCCTGCTTCCACTGCGGGCCCACGCCCGCAGGCTGCGGGCAAACGTGTGCTTCAACTCGACGTGCTACTACTTCGCCATCTGCCGCAGTCTGAAGGGGTTTCGCACGCGTTCTGGCCTACGGGATGTTGGCGCTAACGCGCGCGATGCAGATTATCATGCGGCGCACGCGCGCGCCGACCCTCGCGCGTCTGGGCCTGTGTGATGGTGGTGGCGATCTTCGACAAGTTGCCAACATCATTTCCAATCTCAGCGAGCCTGTCTACACGGACTTGTTCGTGACCGCAGGCGCTTGCGCAGGCTCTGCGGCTGCTTCCCCATGTCCGCCGTGCGTGGAAGCTTCGTCTACTTTGTTTTCCTTTGCTATGGGGTGTCATCTTCTTCGCGAAGATTCCGCCCGACACGCTGCTGCAGCTGGTGGTGTCCGTGACCGCCTCGCTGACAGTGGTCTACGCGTCCGCCACGACGCCGCTGCGCGTGGCGCTCCTGCGAAACCCGATGGTGCTCGAGCCCGCCCCGCTGCCGCCGCAGATGGTGTCTCTCTGCGTGCTGAACAACCTACCGGTGCTGATTGCGTTCCTCTCGGCCTCCCTCCCGCTGCTGCGGGAGGCGCTCTGTCCAACCCTGAAGGTGGTCAAGATCGTCATGCTGCCGCTACTCTCGACGCTCCACCGCGACCTGAGGGTGCTCCGGTTCGCTCCGCTGTCGCTGCAGATGGGGCCTCTCTGCGTGCCGAAAAACTCCATGTTGCTGACTGCGGCCCTCGCGTCTGCGCCGCTGCCGCTGCCGGTGGCTCCCCTTCGCAACCTGATGGCGCCCGTGGTCGCGCTGCCGCTACTGGGGTCGCCTCTCTGTATGCTGCTCAACCCAATGTTGCTGACTG